TGTTCCAACATGACTGTCATGCTTAACCCCCAGCACGATGCAGAAAATGGGATAGGAGACTGAAAAGCTTGACAAAGGTCATACCCAGAAGCAGTGTGGCAGGGATTCGAGATCAGCACTCACTCCCCCTATCCCTTCCCTTGGCCACAGTGCTTTTCCAATCATGAACAAAACGCGATACCCTCGCCTGTTTCCTTCTTCAGCCAGACAGTCATTAGACTATGACTAGACTGTGCTCCCTTCACGCTGTTTTATCACGAGGGAGTAGAAATGTATTAGCTTCCCACATCACAGAACTAAAGGAAGCAGGCACATCTTGGTCAGGAATATGTGAGGTTTTAAGTCCAGATCTCGAGATGCGGCTGCTGGGGGAGCTGGGGGTGCTGGGATGGGCCTGGCCTTCAGGGTGCCCCCAGCTTGGCCCTGGGAGGTCTGCGGTGAAGGGCGGGGGGTGATGGAGGCTGTGGGGTGGCTGCAGTGCAGCGGGCAGCCCCATGCGCTCTGGGCTTTAAGAGCTGAGGTATTTTGTGCTGAACGGAGAACATTCCCACTTAGCTAATTGAATGTCCTTGCTTCGCACAGTGGTGCCCCTCAGCAGGGGACAAACCTCATCTGATGTGCACACGAATTTCAAAGAGAAAATGACGTGGGAGGGTTTAATGGAGCAGACAGTGCTGTAATCCCAGGGCAACTCCGAAGCCCGGGCCAACGTGCAAGCTCTCAGCGGAAGAGGGAAAGTGCTGTGAGTCAGCAACCTGTTCCATTTTCCCCTGAGGCCCAGGGGCTTCCATTAATGCAGTGTTTGTCCTGATTACTGAGGGGAGGGAGGGTGAAGGAAAAGCATCATCCCTGTGCTATCTCTTCTCTCACAGGGATCCCAGCTGCTGGAAGGAGTGGGTCACAGGGGAGGTGGCTGGCAGGAAAGGTGATGACATTCAAACACTCTGCCTCCTAAGGCTGTGTCAGAGTGGGCGAGGTAATCTTCTGTTGCGAACCTTCAGATGTTGGAGACCGTCTGCAGGGAAATCTTCATCCCCACCGGCAACAGTGTGAAGGTAAAGCACCATCATGATCCGAGGCTGGTCCAGAGACGAGGCCTCGGCCAGCTGGGTGGCTCCTTCTGTCGGTCAGCAGACCCTGGCCACAGCCCGCATGTGAACTCAGGAGCCCTTGCAGCTGTCCAAACCCTCTTCCTGACTTTGTCTAACCTCCGAAGAGTCCTTCCAGATTTCCTTGCCCATCCTGAGTGACCACTCATGGTCTCTTTGCATAAGAAGTTTGTCTGGGAGTCAGAATTCAAGCCTCTTGAAGGCTTAGGTTTCTGTGCACTGACAGCCACAAAACGCAGAAAGAGAACACCACAGACACCTTCTTACCTGCATCACTTATCATTTGAATTGCTTGTGGTGTGGATGCCAGTTTTTTATTCTTTCCCTCTAGCACAAATCCTGTTACTGTTGTGAGATGGGCCAGTACTTGGCTCTGAGTTGTTCTACGATGCTCCCAGGTTCCTCCCCTGCTGGGTGAAAACTCCATCTGCTGTCCAGGTGCTGGTGCTCAGAGGTCTCCTGAATGAAAGAGGATGGAGGCCCAGGGCCCGAGTACTCTCCTTTTTCTATAAGCTGTGACACCATTTATACTAGGCAGAATTTCAGAGGCAAAAGAAATCTTTTCACTTTTTCTGAGGCTGCAGGGAAAGTGGATGGACTTAACAGCTCTTACCGTTTTAAGTCAAAAGATGTAGCATTGAGAAGAAGACAGAGCAAGATGTCAAAGCTACTTTGTAAGTGGTTCTCAGCCACACGAGTGGGGAAAGTCCTTTAGCCTGGATGAACACAACAATATGGAAACCTAAACGCCCACTGAATAAGTCAACCATGCCAGTCAGGCTCACGCTTCGCTTTGCGCCCATCTGTAGCCCCCCTCCCTGTGCATACATGGTGAAGCCTCAGGGGCTTCCCAGATCACCCCCTGGCAGAGGTAGGAAGCTGAAGATTCTTAAACCTGGCTGCAGAGAACCAGCTTTAAATGGCTTTAAAAACCATCCATGCAGAATCCCCAACCCAGATAATTAGATTCAACTGATCCGGAGTAGGACCCAAGCGTGGGTATTTTCAGGAGGTAACGGAAGTGGTAAATTTTATGAACAAATATTTATAAAAAAAAGTGTAACTCCCATATGGTGACATATGTAAATCTTAAGTACCCAGCTGAATGCATTTTTATAAATGAATACTCCTGAAACACCCTCCCCCACACCAATATAGAGAACATCATCAACCCCCAGAAGCCTCAACACAGGATTTTTAAAACTAAGTTCTTTTCTTTTGAGATAATTAGAGGTCTCAAGTTGCAAGAGCATAGCAATGAACTCAGCAAGGGTATTTAAAAATCTCCCCTGTTGATAAAACTATACAGACAGGCTTGTTTGCAATAATTGTTGCTTTGGCCACATTTCTGGCCACGGAAAGCCTTCAATAAAGCATGGGTATAACGTTTCAATATTCTGTGACTGATTTCTTAACCAGGTCATTATTTCTCAAGGTTCCTTTAACATAGAATTAATGCCAGCCTCAGATATACTTAATTTTGTTACATTGTCATTGGGGTTTTTTTGGTAAACTTTTTATGAATTGTTTCTGATTCACAGCCTCAGCTCTTTCCAGTTATGTATGGACTAGGCAGACTGTTTTGCTATAAAAAAGAATATCTTATGTATGCTTGAGAAAAATAAAGGTGGAATTACACTCATTTTTTGTGGGTCAGCCACTAGTTGATGGTTGGTGAGTCCAGAGGCAAAATCTGGAGCCCACCATGGCTCAAGGGTAGGGATGTGTGAAAGACAGGAGTCTGAAGAACAAAATACCCAGTGAGGAAAAGCAAACAAACAAACAAACAAACAAAACCAATCAACACCCAGGCCTGTGGAAAAGTGCAGACTGCAAAAGCCAATCTGAGTTCCGAGTTTAGGAAGACCAGCTAGAGAAATTCTACAGGATGGGAAGGGGACCAGGAAGAAGGGTCAGCAAACATCCAGGAGCCAAGGAGCTGTGCCGCCATCTGGGGTTAGAAAGAGGCTGGCCTCAGAAGGAATCCAGCTGCCCAGTGAAGCAGTCAGCAGTGACTTGCTGGGTGAGCATCTGGCAGACTGGCCAGTGGGGCTGCCCCTGCGTCCACTTGGATGACGCAGCTAATTTTCATTCATACAGAGGTTGCTTATGGACTAGGGCGGCTCCAGGAGCAATGCTGAGGAAAGCCGGACTCTGCCCGGGCTCTGCATCTCCTTTTTGTCTCTTCATGCAGAGCTCCTAAGAAGCAATTCTTCTTCTTCTTTTTTTTTAAGGTTTTATTTCTTTATGTCAGAGAGAGAAAGGGGGGGGGGCGGGGATGGACAGAGGGAGAGGGAGAAACAGTCTCCCCACTGGGCTGGGAGCCTAACTTGCAACTGGATCCCAAGACCCCTAAGATCATGATCTGAGCTCAAGGCAGAGATGCTTAACTGACTGAGCCATCCAGGCGTACTGAAGCAATTCTTTCCATGGCAGCTAAGTGGGTTTTCCATTCCAAACGGCCAGTTAAGTGGGTTGGGAGCTAGTTCTGAGGGTGGCTGAGGTCTTCGGGGCCCAGACAGAGAAGGAGAATCACCTGTAATTCCTTGGATGGTGGGAGACGACAAGCCTTATGGTGGGTGTGAGTTAGTACCTCTGGGAGGGTATCTCTGGTCCTGAACAGACCAGAGTCCAAAAAAGGAAAACCCACCACTTGCGCTTGGCACGCCATACTCAACTTAAGTGTCTGGCAAGGAAAAGTTCTCTTTAGGCCAAGTAACCAATTCCTTATGCCTTCCTTGTTATTGTTATATACAACATTGATTTGCATGTAACTTTATAGGTTTATTAAAAGAGTGTGACATGCATGAATTTTGTAACTCAATAGGATAAAGCAAATTACAATGAGTTCAAATACTAAAGTTTACATCTTGTCTTTGATTTTAACAGTGGATCAAATTCACTCAGGGTTGTTCCCTAACAAACCTAGGCTTTGTAGCCAAAATTGCTCTGTTTTAAAACAAAAGCAGGAAAAAAAGAAAATGATCCAAAAGCAAAATTTTGAAATCTAATTTTTCACCCAATGATCAATTAGATTTTAGGTTGAACAAAGAGTGAGTTTTTAAAGTCCACATGTGGTTTTAATTTACATAGTATTCATAATTTGCAAACTTCAACATGTTTGCTCTCTTTCTCTTTCACACATACACACAACCAGAAAACCTCCCCTCCCCTCTGTCTTGTTTATTGGATTTGATTCCTGGATTCTATGAACCTCTCCCTGCATTTCACTATTTGTGGGTGAAGCACCTGGAAGTTTCTGGCTTCTAAGCAGGACAGTGCTGACTGCCCAGAAACAGGAGACCTTAAAGTGTTCAGAGGTGACAGGAACAGCTTAGAAGAAACTCAAGAAGGATCTGGCCAGCAAGGACAGTTGAGTCATCTCTTAAGTTCTACAAATAGATGTTCCATGACAAGACAGGATGCTTCCTGCTCTCATCCCAGTTCTCAGCTGCCAGCAGAGGCAGACTGACATGGGGTTGAGCTTTGAACTAGACCTAGAGGGGATGAATAAAGGCACATGTATGTGCCTGATGTGTATGATAGTCCCCAAAACAATGGTAAGTCATGCTGCCTTCTATGCCGATTATGACCTGTGTCTCCCCTGATGTCCATTTGGGTGGGAAGCCTAGAGTTGATAGCACATAGAAAGCCAATGAAAGTGATCCCTTGAAACACAGCAAAATGCAGCAATATTCCTACAGGACTCTTGGCATGGTCTTACCTTCTACAGATCTCTGTACAAGGGAGAAAATCCTAGATAAACAAAAGGCAAAAACTTGATCATGACAGTGTTGTTCTCAAACCAGCACTGACAAAACAGGAAAGGGACAGAAGGAAGGCTGAAGTCAAAGAAGGTGATGCCTCGTTCATGCCAGGCCAGCCTCTTACCATAATGCGGGATGATGGCCCAGGCCATGGCAGAGGCGTAGATGCCGCCAATCATCCAGAACATGCACAGCCAGCTCAGATGCTCCCCCCGCTTCTCTCGGGCCAGCACTTCCGCGAAGTAGGAGAACACCGTGGGAATGGCCCCTCCGATCCTGCCAAGAGCGACAAAGACTATATGAGATCAGAGCCAGGACAGCTGTGGGAGATGCAAAGGGAAGAACCAAAGCAAGCTTTAGCAACAACACTCTCTCTTTACCCCCAGCATATCCAGGGATGTATATTTTCTATCATTTTGTAACTTTAATATTATAATCTCTGTTAAATATAGGTTTATTATCCCTCCGGAACCTGTAATTAAGGGATGTCATCAAAAGGTGGCAGTAGTGCCCTAGTTATGGGGTTTATAGAGCTTACCCTTGCTTAAGGATCAGAGGGGTTTCTGCTCCGGTTGACTGAATGTTCTACACATTTGCAAAAATTACAGTATTGGATCTAATCTCGTGAATATTTTAATGAACTCATTTTTAAAAAGAGGTACTAGGATATGTCCTAGTCAAAGACATGGTAACTTTAGAAAGAGCTTCAAGGGGCACCTGGGTGGCTCAGTGGGTTAAAGCCTCTGCCTTCGGCCCAGGTCATGATCCCAGAGTCCTGGGATCGAGCCCCACGTCGGGCTCTCTGCTCAGGGGGGAGCCTGTTTCCTTCCTCTCTCTCTGCCTGCTTCTCTGCCTACTTGTGATCTCTGTCTGTCAAATAAATAAATAAAATCTTAAAAAAAAAGAAAGAAAAAAAAAAAGAAAGAGCTTCAAACACTTCTGGGAGGCTGTCTGCCATTGGGCTTACTTGTGGCTACTCTGTGGCAGCTGGTCCTGCAGCCCGGTCAGCCTGTTGTGCTGAGGGACACAGGCCCAACCAGGTTGCTTCTTGGACCGCTCTGGTCTCGACCCAGTAGATCTCACTGCTGCCCGAGTACATGTGTATGTATGCACACTGGTTGAATCAAATAAGGCGCCGCTGATTTCCATACCAATAGAATAGGGTACAATGCTTCCTTCTGGTAGGGTAACTATAAGACATCTTGACATGAATAGTGACTTCCATTCAGGTTAAGGCTTCTCCAATGAGGGTCTATAGAATAAATATTTTGTTCCTTCTAGGCAGATGGGCCCTAGATCTCATCTGCATTTCAAACAGGTTTTGACCCCCAAGTTTTAAAAAAACACAGCCTCAAAAGTAGGGACGTAGGAGAAAACATTACTCACCATCATCCCAAACAGTATACGAATTCTTAAATTTTGGGGGAAGATGTACAACAATATACATGAGCAAGTTGCAGAGAAAACACCTAGTAATACATTTTTAAAAATATGTGCCGATTCCTTTATGCTCAGATTTCTGTAAGGTAAATTGCTATTGACATTTTATGTCAAGAAGTAAAACATATATTTACGCAGTTAGCAATAACTGATTTCCTCAAAGCTTTTAATATGATAAGGAAGTATTGGCAGTGACCTTAGCAAATGAAATTTAGAGAAAGGCCTTATCTGTAGCCAACTGGATGCCCCAATCCAATTGCAGGATCCATCATGTCATTGTGCATCAAATGGTAGGTCAAATTATAGCACCACTTCATTCATTTGCCCCTGCCTAAAGTGACATGATGGTTATCTACTTCGAGACACGGGCCTATCAACTTAGGCCAACACTTTTCAATCTGTGGGCTATGAAATTAACTTAGTAGCTATAAACAGAATTTTTAAAAAAATTGAACTAGAAATGAAAAGAGTTAAGCACAACTAAAGTAATGAGGATAAATATCATTTCATGAAACTTTTGTTTTCATTATGAAAATATTTATAATGTAGAAAGTACACATGTATATGCATATACGTGTCTACATATAAATTTATATACATGAACAAATAAATAAATATGTATAAAAATGTATATTGGATTGCAATGTGTTTCTTCATGGGAATTGCTGTTCAAAGACTTGAAAAAAACACTAGCCAGAAGCATCTCTATCTGTTTGCCTGAGCTATGAATGTGGCAGTTCTACCTAAAATTCCTGGACTCCACATGACCTCAGATGCAGCACGTGGCCATTTGGTGCCATCACACTAGGGGGAGCCAAGCAGTCCAAGGTCATCAAGTGGACCCCTCCACACATAAGAAACAAAGGCATGTGGCAGGCAGGCAGAGCTGGCTCTATCCCACACACAGTTCTCCACCCAGCTTCTCAAGGACCAGAAATCATGAACAACTAGCTGAATTTTAAAATTCCACAAAGCCCTGAACAGATTTAAATGGTTTCATTACAACACACAATTTTAATAGGAAATAAAACAGCTGTGTCATAAGTCATTTAATGCTACTGCTTTTTTCATTTGATGTGAAGAATCTGTTTCTCTGCACCAAAAGCCCCAGGTCTCATATCTACGCCTTCACTTCTTGATGCATAAAAAGAGTCCCAGTTTTTACTGACTTTCCACCTCCTAATTAATGTTTCATCAGGATTCTGGACATTCCATACATAAGAGCTATCACTCCCGTTTCATGAAGGCACCGTTGCATGTAAGATATGCCAGGTCACTCGGAAACAAGAGAAATGTACTCTGGGACGGCTAAAGTGGCAAGTGGAAGATCAGAGCCTTGCTTGTTGGCTTTACACAAACTATTGTTATGTAAAAGAATACCAGCTTTTAGGGGCATATAGGCAATCCAGCTGGTTCTGAGTCAATGCCTCTTTTTCAAGGTGGTTATTTTTACACCAATGTCCCGCAATATGTTTGCAAAGCACATCACAAAGAACTCTGATACCAATGGATAAATGAGTCTAAAGAATGAGTGAGGGGTCTCTTCAAATCCTTTGCAAAGTTCTTCAGATTCAGAGCCCTAAAAAACAATGTAGGCATTCATATTTCTCACTGTAGGCTGATCACCCATTTTAGGGAAAACATTGCTCCTCGTGTTACTGTGATGGGCTTTAAGCAGAAACAAACATTACAGCCTGCTGTCATGTTAACTTTTACTAGTGTTTTATACAATGGCAGAGATTGTAAACGTTGTTCACACTAGACTGAAGGCCCCTTGAGGGTGAGGACTATATCCCATTCATCTTTGAATCCCCATTATCTGGCCCACTGGACATGCACTCGGTGCATCTCAAGAGAGTTGTATTTCTCTGCTGATGGAGGTGCCACTCCAAACAGACTAGAGTAACTTGCTCTGAGGACCTAAACATCTCCCGCGAATGGAAACACACGTCTGATGTTCTGGGTCAATGTAATCATAAGAGAAGTTATGGGTGCTAGAATGGAGGTCCCGGTAGCAACAGAGCCCCAAAAGAGTTCTTGAAATCACGCTATGTCTGAGTTGCACAGTCACCTCATGACCAGATACCTTGGTGAAAAGAGCTACTTGGAACCCCTGGGCATAAGACTGTGCAATCCTCTTGGGCACTCCAGGGACTCCTAAAATCTTTGATACCTTCCAGAAAAGTGCTACAGAATGCTATCAACAATAATAAAAATTTAGATAAGAGATGAAGCATACGTTTTCACGTCTCACAATATGGCTTTGTTCCTTTAAGTACTGAAGATAGGAAAAAGCTGCCCCCCCATTTTTATGAGTAAAAAAAAAAAGAAATGTTTTTGTTATTATTCTACATCAACATTTCAGTATTTTGTGCAAGGGCTATACATTTCCTGGTCTGTTTTATTGTATCAAGATAAAATTTCTAAGAATACATGAAGAAATAACAAATATTTGGCTGTTCTTGAAGTCCCACGTATCAGTGGTTCTTTTTTTTTTTTTTTAAGATTTTATTTATTTGAGAGAGAGAGAGAGAGCATGAAAGGGGCGAGGGGCAGAGGGAGAAGCCAGCTCCCTGATGAGCAGAGGGCCCGATGTGGGACTTGATCCTGGGACTCCAGGATCATGACCTGAGCCGAAGGCAGTTGCTCAACCAACTGAGCCACCCAGGTGCCCATATCAGTGGTTCTTAAACACAGTTGAATATGTTCTCCCCTCTCCCAACAGATATTAGGCAATGTCTGGATACATTTTTAGCTGTCCAACTCAGGAGGTGCTACTGGCATATAGTAAGAAGAGCCCAGTGATACTGCTAAAAATCCTAAAATACAGAAGACAGCTCCTCACAACAAAGAATAATCCATCCCAAAATATTAATAGTGTCAAGGTAGAGAAACTTTTGTAACAGGGATTTAATATGGAAAATATACTTTGTTTTATACTAAAAATTCATAACATAAGGCATGAAATGGTTATCTTTTACATTACCTGATATGTAATACATCTCTAAATCCAGTTAGCATAGAGATCTTTTTATTGTTCACTATTTAATGATCAGTTAGCTACTGTTGAAATTTTCTCAAGTTCATTTTTGATGGAATGTTTACATAATGAAGCCACCAGATGAGGGTGGTTTATAAAGAATTTTTCTCAGGATCAGATATTAAGTCTATTTTATTAACTGTCAAAGAGGGTTAAATCTTAATTATCTTTGGTAAAAGGAGGCATAGAGGGAATAATAATTGAAATCCACACTCTATAGAGGTGGAAGATAAGCCAGATTCAAAATAATTAAACTGATACAACTGAAACAGAACACTGATCTTTGAAATTTCAGAGTTGGAGTTATTCTCAAGTAAGATCAAGGTTACATTTTTGCAACTTTAATTATAGAAATATAAAGAAACTTAAAAATGTATTAAAACACATTCTAGAATAAGTTGGGACCATTCTCCAAACCCATTCTACACACATATGCACACGTATGCGCGCGCACACACACGCACACACACACACACACACACCCCTACATATGACTCAATCCTAGGTGTCTGGTGAGTATCATGAAACGTATTTATTTCCTTCAAAGCCAAAGCAAATTCACAAGTGGGATATGGTGTAAGGCAAAGGGTGTGTCAGCTTTACAAACACAAATACTCTGTTGGGAATGTGAGACACATAAGTTGAAGTCCCTTTAGCATAGTAGGATGAAAGAGAATGCCAAATATTTCTGTCTGCACGAACTTCACGGAGACTGCAAATTTCACAGCCACACCTCCTATTACTTGGGTTCAGATGGAACTCTGGTGGACTATGTTTGTCCCTGTACCAAATCATA